TAATCTCATTTACCTTAGAATAAACCTAATAGATATACTATTTAAGGTAAGCTTAAAGGTTTTTAATAGGATTTAAATCTAGTAAGTATACTAGCTACTCTATTAACTTGATTACGTGATCTTTAAACTACTAGTATAAGAGTTTAGCTCTATAAATTGGCGCGTTATCTTATATAAAGAGCTAACTAGGCTCCTACATTATTAGTATAATCTCTTTAAGGGCCTAGATATAGACTTAAGCTGAGTATCTATTTTTAGAAGTATCTTTATTCCACTCTATTATAAAAAGATCGGAACGGCTATAAAACCCGCTAAAAGTAGTAAATACTATAAAGAATAGCCGCTTGCTCTTATAGACTAGCTATATTATATTCTTTATCTATTTTTAGCCTAGTATTCTAAAGATCTAGCTAGTTTCCTTCTACTAGCTCTTATTTTACTCTATAGAGTATTTATTACTCTATATAACTATATGCTATTAATCGACTATCTACTCTTTATACATCTTTGCCTATACTAGCTAAACTATAGTACATTTAGAAATAAGAGCAAATCGACGTTAATAGTACTATTAAACAATATTGCACTCTCGTAAGAGGTAGCGGATTACTCTTATAGAGAATAAGAGGTTAAGATTAGTTTTTAGCTATAAATATATAAGATCTAGATCTATATAGACTATGCGGAGTATACGCTATTTATTTCTATTAGTATAGATATATAAACGGCTATAAGGCTTATTCTAGAAGGTATTGCGTTTAAAAGCCCTTAGTATTATCTTTTATGTAATATCTCTATTAAAGCTAGTTAGATGCTTAATTTTAGTACAGGATTTACTTATAGTAATAAGGCCTATAATAAAAGCATAGTCGGTTAGCAAAAGCTTACGCCTCTTATTAGCTCTTAGAGGTGAAATTGAGTCTAAAGGGATGCGCGCTATAGTGTTGTGGAGATGCATATATAAGACTAGCTAGTGTTCTTGTGATAAGAATACGGGACTAGCTGAAATCCGGAAAGACTTTTAGCTAGGGACTGTATTATCTGCGTGGTATACTAGTAGGACGCAGTCATGCGGGGTCTTAGTTTACTTTCTCATTTCACACGGACCGCTTCATGGCAGAGCTTCTAGCCTTACTCCAGCTGTAAAAACTTGATCTTGATAGATGAGCTAACGCCTATGTTTACTCGTGCATTAATTTCTGCCTCTCTTATAAAACCGCGACATCTTTAAGAAGATTAATCTTACCACCTTACTATAGCAAGACTAAGTGTGGTTAGATTGTCACGAAAACGCGAGGCTATTCGTCTACGGAACCTAGAGATCTGAACTAAAACTCGCAAGAAGTATTACCGAGATCGATTCAGAGATAGCGCATCTAGACACCTTATCTGTTAATAGAACTTCTATCCTAATAACTAATATAAGGTAAGATTCTATACTATAGACACCTAATGCACCGAACTCGTTGCAAAACCATTCTAGGCTAAATAATAATGCCATGCACAGGATTATTTTGTCTCTTCATCTCTAGGGCTTTGTGAACCTCGAGAAACAAGAAGATCTTACTAGGATAGCAAATCGATTTAACGACGATGTTTCACGCCTTCTAATAACGGCTAACGTCGTCTAGAGATCGTTTGTTCACACCACGAACAAAGGCCGAGCGGCATTTTGCGCGACTGTGGCTATTAAATCCAAGATGAAAGTAGACGAATTGATGGAGCACTTGAGTTATTAGAGTTGCAATAATAGCTTCATCGGGATTACACCAGTTTTTATACCTAAAGGCGATGTAGATGTCGAGTAAGAATATTCTAAATAAAGGATTAAAGACTATCCCTAATATATAGTAAAGCATTATCGCCGTCCACGGTTTATAAAGCCATTCTATTGCGGTATAGAAACATAAGAAATAGGAGTCTTAGATATAGCTACGCGACTAGCTGCCGAAAGCTTTTAAAAGAGAGATTAGTCCTAGAATCAGAGTTCTCCTCCGCGGCTACGACACTAAAACGTCTAATAATAGCTGTCTAGAGCTTGGCAATGCGGTGCTATAGTGATATGTGAGTTCCGATAAAGAAGCAGTTTAAAGATAAGGTCTTTAGAGCCCTAAACCAGCGCTGATACTCACTAAGTAGTCTAATAAGTGTCTAATTATCTTCGTAACCTATAGCCTTAGTAGCTTGATTCTTAAAGAGGTTAGCATCGCGAGTAATGCTCTCGTCTTAGATTGCTGCTAACCTTAGGGTAGATAATGCTTGCTGCTATTAGTATAGACCCGGAATTACTAGCAGCGATTTATACTATTCTCCTATTCGGGGTACTAAATGCTAGTCTTTAACACAAGGTTTTATTATTAGAAGTAAACGGAAAACCGTGCAATTAACTGGCACGAGACCTTGTGGTAAATGTGGGCTAGGACCTAATAATATATCTTGAGAACCTATACAAAGTGTTTAGCGAAAAGTTTGGTGCAAGATACAAAATAGACGTCTTCTATAAGAAGAGGCAATCAAAAATATTCAAGGTATTTCATCTTTCTTTAACAAAATTGAGAGTAATGATCAAGAAAGTGTAGGTTGACAAACATGGAGTAAAAATCGACTAGGATTATACGATACGCAAGGTCAACAAGCTGTCTGCGAGTATAGTGGGTTATAGTGTTGATCCGGACTTTTGCTAGCAGTTAGATGCCGATTACGTCAGTCTAGTAAGATATAAGGATGAGTTCTAGGCACTATATATCACTATGCGAGATCATTTACTTCTGCGCGCCAAGGAGGCTCTAGAGAAGATAGCTAAGCGGTTTCGAATTAGCGAGTAGGGGGAAGCTAAGCAGTGCAAGATAACGAGAATTATGGATATTTTAAAGTTTCTTAATATGGACCTTCGGCAGCAGGCAATATCAGAGCCCGCCTCCCAGACATATGAATGGATGCTCTCAGAAAATTTCGATCCTCTAGAGCGAGACTAAGAATGCCATCCATATCGACTATCGCAACGGCTTGCTAATAGAAATGGGGTATTCTGGGTCTACGGCAAGCCAGGGTCAGGAAAATCCACGCTAATGAAATTTGTGCGGCAGAACAACAAAACCTTGGACTTACTAAAGACTTGGGCGTCGGGTTCACCCCTCATCATAGCTAAGCACCACTTTTAGTATCCTGGCTAGCTGCTGCAAAAATCGTATGAAGGCTTTGCTTGTACGCTTTTGTAAAAAATCCTCGAAGCGGACCCAACGATTGCCAAGTGGGCATTTTCTGGACAGTTAGTAAAAGAGCTCAATGAAATAGGAGCAAATATCTCCCAGACGGATTTGCACTAAGCTCTACTCGACCTCAATAAAGCTGATATTAAGATATATCTATTCGTTAACGGCCTCGACGAATGTTATCTAGATACCGACTAGGAAAGTGTTAGAAGCATAATATATGAGCTTGCGAAGCTCGACAATATCAAATTGTGCATCTCTAGTAGAGAGAGGCAGATCTTCGAAGAAACTTTTAAATCGCCTAATATGCTCCGCTTAGAGGACGTTAATAGGAAAGACATACACACTTACGTCAGCAACACAATTCAAAATTTGTTATAAACCGTAAAGAAGTCAGCAACAACGATAAAGGTTTCGCCTATTCTATTGACAAACTTGGACTCATAATCGTGGATAAGTCAGCCAGCGTCTTTCTCTAGGTTCAGATGGTTACGCGTCACGTCGCTAAGAGCCTTATAGTAGGCTAGGCTGTGAAAGTTGCGCAATAACATGTTGACAAGCTTCCTGGAGATCTTAAAGACTATATTAGAGATATAATCTACGAACGTGTCTCAACAACTTGGAAAGAAGACACGACAACCGCATAAGCCTTAAAGTTAGCGATGCTACTAATCGAGGCCACGGCACCGCAACAGTCAAAGCTGTACTCGCCACCAAGCCCACTTTACCTAGTTTTTTGGTGGTTTCTGGCAGTGTCTCCCCGTGGCTTTGAAGACGAGAACTTTGGATTCTCCTATCCTTTCACAATACTCACGCCGAGTGATCTCAAGGAGATGCACAAGCTCACTCGAAACTTCCTAAGATCTATATGTCAGGACCTGCTCCAAATCATCGACGACACTGAAATCGAAGAAGATGAAATCGATCTTTGGTTTAATCAAGCAAAAGTCACCTTCATAAGCCGTAGTATCTACGACTTCTTATTCTTAAGAGAGATGAATGATTTGATCAATCGAAGGACGCCCTGCTATTTACAACAACCATTCTTAATGTAAATCAACATCGCGAAAGCGAAGCTTATGCTACCGACCATGAATTGGGCAGATATCGAAATGTTCAGACAAGACAAATATGCCGCTCTCGACCACACTTTAGTCTGTGTTAGAGAACTGAGTTTTAGCCCGGCCACAAGGACAGCCGTTGTTATCGAGTGCCAAAAGATCGCTTTAGAATATCTTAAGCTCTCTCATCACTTACGCAAGCGAGACACAGGCGGGCATTCTCGCGACCAAGACGTTCCCCGTTGGATTTCCGCGTCTGAAGCAAATCTTGTGTCCGAATTTCTCTTTCATGGCTGCAATGAATTCCTGGTTCAGAAATTAAAATACCGAGCCAAGGTGACATACCTTGAATTCTACATCGCTCTAGGCGAGGGCCACAGCAGCGAGCTCGACTATCCTATTAGAAGGATTAATGGGCAAGGGGAAGGGCAAAGGGACTTGAGGGCTGGGTCGGAGGTCAGATTTTACTCGGCTGGATCAAAGTCTTGATGTGGGTTAGCAAGAGTTAGGAGCATTAATACATATTGTCACCTCAATCACTTCAGGCTGGTGCTGCATTCGACGTATCTTCTAGCTATCAACCCATAGCGACTAAATCACCTAACCGTCAGTACGATGTTCCTGATCCTAACTCTGCACATGCCTCCGGTGGTGTAGCTCCAACTCAGCGACTGTACGATACTCATCAACGTCGAACAATGCGGTACAGTTCTATAGGCTAAGTATACTATTGTTGGGGCTGCGGTGAGAGCAGTTGGACAAGCTCCGCAAAGGATGCAACATCGTTAAGGTGGCGAATGTCGCCATAGCAGGCTCTGATATCCGGAAGAGGTGAGCTAGGGTGGATAATAGCCTGTATTGTTCTGCTGGAGAGGTACTTGACTTGCTCAACGTAAGGGCACACCTGTAGGAGACTCTCGATAAAGAAGGTAAGTTGATCTTGAGACATCTTTTCAAACCTAGAGTGCGGGTTAGACTCCAAATCACGACGTTCGTCTTCGTTTCGGGGCTTACTCTGAGGGCTGGATGTCCTTATCTAAAGACCGTACTCCCTCCACCGTGATTTGAAGCCTTGGCGTAATAGGTCTAGTTGGTAGAAGCGCCAGAAGCTGTAATCCGAACCTCTGAGCAATCTTATCCATCGTCTTTCCAATCACGGTATGCTTTATCAAGTCCTCTTTGCTAATATGAAACGCCTCCTGGAGCTCTGCTTTCACGCGAGCTCTCGCGGTGGAGTGATCCACAGCACCATCACGTTCTCGGCGGTTCCGCATGGCTTTGAGTTCCTGGCTCTTCTTGTCTATTAGGGCCTCGTAATAACGGGAGAATTCGGCGCGATAAATCCGTAGAAGGGCCATGCTTCCGTGACTAGCACGCTCGGCTGAAGTAATAGCCTGTAGACGGTGCCACGCTTGATCCAACTCCTTAGGGTCGAGCTCGCGCCGTGAGTTGACCGGGGGTGTGAATTGACACAGACTTTCCCGCTTAAGTAAGTGTGGGATACCGCGGTCAGCACTCTCGAATAGCATCTGAAAAGTGCGGGCGACGATAGCGAACTTTTTGCCGGCGTTCAAAGCCGATCCTATGAGATTCATCGACGTCTCTAATAGTATGCCACTGAAATCTGCTTCGTGGGCTCGTTTACTTAATGCCGCAGACATGATGCTCATATATTCGGCATGTGTTGGGGAAGGGATGACAGCTGCTACTGGCGAATTTTCGAGCGGCTCGTTCACTCGGCTGACTTCCGGCTTTTGAAGCGGCTTAACTACTCGCTTGAGCTCCGGGTCGAGGAGTATTACTCGCTTCCGCGGCAAGGTGTCGTTGCTATTGTCAGGGTATGGGCGCTTGAGCTGCGCCGAGTTGAGGACATCCGAGGTAACCCCCGCAGATATGCAAGGGCTGAGCAAATCTATCAGGCATTGGAGCCGGAGGTCGGCCCAGTCGACGCGGGAGGAATTGGATTCGGTATGAAAGTAGGTTCTGACGGCTCGGTAGAGATTGAAATACAAGTTACAGTTGCCGTGCTCCGACGCGGAGGTCAGCTGATAAAGTTAGGATTACTCATTTTAAGAGTAGATAGGACACTTACCTCACGCTCTTCTACTGCAAAAGATGATAAAAGGTGGAGTCTACCTCTAACATTCTCCGCGACGCTGGTAAGGCGCGAGGGTTCAGTATTTGACACTATACTGCCTTTTGGGGTATCTTCAGTATCCAGAAGCACAAGGCCGACGTTAGAGCACTCTTCTTGGGAAGCAACGACATATGGTAATATGTAATAGCGGGTTGCAGACTCTATCCCATCTTCTAGAGCCGCCGCTAGTCGCGTTAAAACCTCCTCGCATGATAGTACAAGCAAGATCTCCAACACAGATGCAGCCGCTGGGCTAATCGTGGAGAGGAGGCAGCTTAATCCGTGGGCGTCTACATCATTCGCGCTTTGGGGATTCCGCGAGAGAAATTGCTCCAAGTAGTCGTGAATCTCCTGAGCGGACAAAAACCGCTTACGGTAGAAGCTAAACGATCCAGGGCTACATTCGGCAGCGGAGTCTATCAGTCTAGCCAAACTGCTCTCCAGATGGCTAGAGGAAGCTGCGGCAAGCTGTTGGCCTGCGGGTAGGGAAGCGCTTAGTGACGTGGCTGGTGCTAACGCGTGTTGTATAGCGTTAGACGCGGTAGCGGAGTGCTCCTCTTGTAGAAGGCTAGAACCCTCGCGGACTCCAGCCGAGGCTCTATAGCCTTGGGGCGAATTACCCTGCAGTGCGGCACTCGCTGGAAACTCCGGCAAAAGCCCTTTCGAAGGGTCCAACGTCGCTTGACGAGGTCGCTCCGCTAGCGCACCCGAAGAAATATCCTCCGGCCCCTGACTAGGAGCTACGAAGAGGGGGCTGTTTGAGCCCTTTGCTATGTCCGCAACGCTAGCCTTGTTAGTGATGAACTTTCACCCCTGGATTCACATAACTTACCTAGAGGCGTCGCCGTGCGTTGTGGTGGAGATACTAAGGCTCATTTGATTAATGCCTTGGTAATCGTCCTTGCAATCCTGCTCGCTGCAATATACGTAATCTGACGGAGGACTGGTCCAATTGTCTTCGAGGGCAAAGTTGACAGCTTCAGCTATGTTCGGCCCCTGGTTGACAACCTGATGATATGCGCCCGGTAAGGTCACGACCAGCTCACCTGCGCGGCACTCGACAACCTGGTAACTAATACCCCATCGGTCGAGCAGAGACGGCGAGAGTACCAAGTTCTTGTGACGAACAAATTGGCTACAAGCCGTGGTTTTCCGGAAGGCGTTTTGAACAGCAGTCTCCAGCTTCTCTCGATCACTAGCTGCTACCATAAGCCATATCTTGGGATGCCCAGCAACAACCAGATTTATGGACCCTAGAAGCCCATCTTCAATGTGCAGAGTGGCGGGAGAGCCACGCTTTGCACTCAAGTACGCATACGACCCAGTGACGCCCTCAATAGGCTTCGGTAGCAGGCGAAGGCGGCTGCCACACCCAAGGAATGGTTTTGGTGGAAGGCATAGCACTTCGCGATCAGCCGGCTCTTCCGCAGGGGTGATTACATAGGGAAATGGTTCGTTGTGATCAGACGAAGTTGCAGCAGATTCGAGCAAATTTGTAGGGTCCTCCAAGGCGCACTCTGCCTCAAAGTCGCCGCGAGGCATGTTGAACCAATCTCCATCAGGATCAGGATGCAGGTAAGCCCGCCGCATGTCGGACACCAGTGCCCTATCAAAAAGCTCTCCCCCCTTTAGCTTCTCATAACGGAACATAGCAGTATCCCATCTGGATTCCTCGTTCCCAGGACGCATTCGTGGGATACGAAGACCACCTATACATTTCCGATTGACGGTTGCGATAACCTCTTCGGTCACGGCCAGCTTGAAATGTCCATCGAGGCTGAGCTGGGGCTTCTCACGGACAATTGCCTGAATTTTCGAGATAAGAGCGTCGCCTAGCTCATCGGGCCCCACTGTCGCTTCGCAGGTGCCGCTGGACTCGGTCCGTGGTGGGAGGTTGTGGTTGATTGGTGCAGTCCGAATCTCCGAGGCGGCGCGGGGAACGGCCTGACGCCCCTTACGTGCGGATGGCGCTTGTGCTGCCTTTCGCTGTCCTGGGCTAGCGCGCGATCCCTTTGCTTGCTTATTCGTGGATCTTAGTGCGCGTTATGCTAGCGCCTGTAGTGCAGCGAACGCTTCTAGACTCTCATACCAGATGGCCGTAACCTTGCGCATACCCTTCATGAGTTCAAGAAAGTCTTGCGCGCCCGGGCCAATTATCGACGGCGGTTGACGGCCTTGTTCGAGTAATAACTGTGAACCGCTATTAGTTGATATATAGTTAGACTACCCTCTCTATGCTAACCTCTACCTCGCGTTGACTATCTTGTAAGAAAACTCGTATGATTGACTGCATTCGGTCTGCTGGAGTTGTAGATCTTGTGATCTTCCTTGCTGATGCTGGAGAGCCTTTCCACCTCCCCTGTTTCTATAAGGTAAGGTAGGTAAACATGGAAGCGCGTGGGGCGCAAGGGTTGGCCGGAGCGGAATATCCACATCACCGCGCAATTGAGAGCTCGGTGATGTAGCTGTTCCGTTCCAAGGTCTCCTTACAACTTGCATGTCAAGGTAGCTCATGTAATTGATAAGTGAGAGGGGAGGTACGGGATAATGGCGCCCGCGCAACTCCTCGTGTGTTGCTCAAAGTGTGATTCACTTGAACAGACGCCTGATGTGCCACGCGCAACAAAGACCGAGGATGTCCGGCGGTGGTAGACACGGTTGTGTTTGAGTTGGCGGCGACAGCTCAGCAAAGAGCTTCGGGAGTCGGCGAGACCATAAGCGCCACTTTGTCGCATTGCGAGCGCATCGACTGAATAAAATCTATCGTCGAGCCCATGATCAAATTCTGAACCTGTAATGATGCTGATGCACAGCTCTAAGCACGACACGCTCTACTCCGGGATGTCCACTTCCCAGCGCAAATTCACGAGCAACAACGGTGGGACGGCGTTGAGCAGTGGTGGCATAAGGGCTGAGCTGCCTGACGGCAGCAGTTATTCCGAGAGGATCGCGCGTAGAATTCGCAGCGGCGAATCACCGTCCAGCATTATTCCCCCGCCGCCAGCGCCAGAGTTGCATCCTCGGATTATACCTCTCCCTCAGCCTCCACCTCCCCCTCAGGCCCTACCTCCTCCTCAGGCCCACACATGGAAGCGGCGGTTTCGCGCCATCTCCTGGCTACTTTCACTGCTACTCCTTGTTGCAGCCGCCCGCCATTGGTGGACGGCTAAGCAGCTCCCATCATTCGGGGCTCTACCCATCACCAACCTTACCAGCGCGCAATCGACCAGCGGCTATATTTTCACCAAGCTGCAGAACTCTACACTTGTTCCGCTCATAGAGAGTGATTCGTCCACGTTTCGCGCTCTAGACGCCGAGCTCTTCAGAAGCGTGACACGCGTAAACGGCCTAGGTTCTCAGATCACTGCCCAGCTATTGCCCTCGGCCGGGCAAGCTATGAGACACGCGGATCCACGGCGCCTTAAAAAGGTCTCGACAGCGCTGTACACAGCGAGGGACTACACACGACAAGTCCTACAAGCTCTTTCCACCTCGAAAGCCCACATCAGGGATGCTCAACTCGTCGTCACCAGCGAAGAGACGGTAATTAAGCAAGATATAGCCGCGGCTTTCAAACACACCCTCACATTTAAGCATGCCGTATATGAAATAGTAGTAGGCGAAGAAGCAGATCGTCGCATTAAACTGGATAAAGATAGAAATCGCCGTTTAGAGGTTCTCACCAATATCATTGCCGACCTACAAACCATTCAGGTCACTATCGACTCGGAGATACGTTCGTATACCCAGTTCGACGCCGATCTACAGCTAGCGCTAGAACCCGTCGAGAGAGTGCTTGAAGCGGGGCCTAATGTGCAAGCCCAAGGCTCGACCTTGTTCGACGCGACGCTGTTCAAGCGGCTGGTTCTTGACGCCGTCTCTCGGGCTATTAGGGATAAGGAGAAAGTGAACGAATTCCATGTCTTCTACAGCAAGCTATAGGATGGTCTAGTGTCTACAGGTGTTATTTTAATTACCTATAGAACTACCAGGAAGCAGCGGCGAGGTTGGCGTTCATTTAGAGGGATCACATGTATAGGAAGGCAAGCTTATTCTCAGTCTCGCCCCAATTGTAAAGAGCAGATTTAGCGCAACTCCGCTTCCCGGTCGCACATGAAGTTTGGCGTGAGTATCTAGGTACAGATAATTAAGCTCGATACCTTAGTCTATATGCACGCGCTCCGCACATGCTGTCATCTCACAGGGAAACGGCAGGGGCGGACATATCGAGTATCGCAACACATATCACGTGGCAGCCGCCGGAGAGAACGCCCCTAGCTCCCCTGCCTGCAAGCTTGTTAAGGAATGGCTTTGATCTGGACTCGCTTGAGCCGACCGCCCCTGCAATGGTCAACGGTCGTGCCGATGAGCCAACTAAAAAGAACCACATCTACTGCAATATTTCCATCGATTGAGGGGGAGCACCATGTTCCAGTCCTCACCCTTAGTGCCTCTCTAGTGGTAAAGCGTGGTACGCGCGTCTTATAGTAGCTGACGCCTGCAAGCGGTTCAGTCATCGTCTTCCGCCGGAGTCTATTAGACCATACCAAAGCGATCGCAGCTCTCTGATGTCTGGAGAAGTAAAACAAAGAACAAGCAACAGTCGACCAACACGCCGAACCTCTATAGCTGTAGGTTAGGCACCCTGCGCCTTTCCCCAGGAGTCATATATAGCAGAATTGCGATCATAGAACCGTCCTCATGTCACAATGCCTTTGAACACTACGACAGCCACGAAACGGGTTTGGAAGCTGTAACTATCCTACAGTAATCTCGCAACAGTTCCACAACAAGACGATGCCTACAAAAGAGTATTGCACTTTTATAGCCCCCTCGCATCTACATCTGCATCTGATTAACCCCCGACCCCCGCGGCCCGGGCCGCCGCAAACGGCTTGATAAGGTGATCACGAATCGCCTGGCCCAGGTCGTTGGCGCGGGACTTGGCAGTTTTATCCGCGAGATCGAGCTGACGAAGTTTTAATATTGCTTCGTCAAAGTAACGGCCACTAGCCGTCAGCTTCTCGCTAACGCTACAGATAATATTAGTAAGATGCAGCGGATTAGCCAGGCGGCGGACTTACAAATCTTTGGAGAGGATAGGCGCTAGGAAGAACACAAATCCAGGGCCAAACTCGACGGAGAGTTTGTTTAGCTTCCTACCCCAGATAGCCCAGTTGTTGAGGTTCTCAAGAGCCGCGCTGGTACTAATAGGAGTTTTAATAAGCACCGGGCCGAGGAAGGCGATGATCTCCTGGCGCATAAGCTTTCCGACCCGTCCAGCGCCGTCCGGTCTGATGTACTTAACAAGATCGTGGTAGAGTAGCATGGTATAGCACCAGAGCTGGTTGTTAATTTTGAGCTGGGCGTCCAGGTTGATTGCAAATTGGTACCGCGCTATAAAGGCGTCACCAAGGCTCTCAGCCTCGCCTTGTGCAATCGTGCATTGTATCGCACCAGCCTGGGCAAGAAACAGTGCGGCGTCCGCTCCATGCCTGTCTAAGAAGCGTTCAACAGAGGGATCGAGGTCGAGGGCGTCCAGGTTCATGATTGCCCTCATTGGATGGCGTGGAGCCGGCCTCTTGGGTGCGCCCGGGCGGCAGGCTCGCTTCCGTTTCCCGCCGCCGCCGCCGCCGCCGCCGCCGCCGCCGGCGGCCCGCTCCTTGCTGCAGAAGTGCTGGGCGATCGAGTCTAAAGCCGTCTTTTGGTCCAAGCTCAACGCGTCTTCCGGAACCGTGCAAAGCACATCCAAAACCTACACCAGCCATCCGTCAGCCCCAAATAGGACTCTAGGCATATTCAGGAGAGTATACCTCTTCGTTACTCAGCAGGTCAGCAAGTATACTAAACTCCCGCGGCAGTCTTTCCGGCTCATAGGCGGGCCTTTCACTCAGGTCGGGCTCGAACTCGCGTGCACCGGAAGGGTTGTTAGTCATGGCCATTGTCGAGGTGTCTGGCTGAAGGATAGACAGGGTGGAGATCATTTTATTAACACTAGCTTCTCCGTAAGCTCCTCTACGTACGGCGGTATTGCGACAACATTTTCAACACATGTAGTGGAATCTATGTCTAAACCGCCTGTTGTAAGGCGTCTCTCACAAGACGCGTCTGTCCCAGCTAGTATCTTATGGGCTGTCTTAGATTCTGTCTTATCTAGAGTTTCAACACCCAAGTCAGGATGTCCAGCTGCCCCTGTTTCGAGCCGACGCAGCCTTGTTCTGGTATCAGGCATCGACAGCTGCAGTTCTACCCCTCGTCTCTATCACACTACTAATAGCTCCTCCTCTTCATCGCACTGCCGACAACTCTTTCTTTTCATACACTGCAAACAGCTCCTCATCTTCACCACACTGCTAATAGCTCCTCCACACTATCGTCAGAAATCAATCCAGCGTTCCCAAAACCGTCCTCTCACGAGAACTCAGAGCAACGCACCGCCTTCGAACAGCCATGCCGAACCAGCAACCGCCAGCGGACTGGTCGCAGCTCGATACCACGCGGCTCGACGAAGAGATTGACCGCCGCGGCCTGGTCCAGCACGCGACAAAGGAGGGGAAGATTCGGTCGCTAGAGCAGCATGACGCGCACCTCCATCACACTTATGCCACAGGGCATGCACCGGTTGTGAGTAGGGCATTTCCAATACGCGGAAGGTGGGATGCTAACACTCTCAAGCCATTGTGGCGTCGATTTTGCCAGGCCGTGGGCCGCTTCATCATGGGCCCCTTGGGATCGACACTCTTCGCCATTTTGACTGTCACTTTGTTTACCTATGCGGTTTCTAGCGCTGGTGGGTATCTCTGGTGCGTCATTGCGAAGGCTGGCGCCGTATCCTACAAGGCTTCGGTTAGGTTCGCGCAATACCGGACCTATGTCCAGACTAGTGTGGTGTGCCTGTACACTATAGGCTACCCTGCTATCAAGTTCTGGTGTTGGGCTTTTCCTAGGTATGATCTATGTGTACTCTAGCTTAGGTAGAGGACCCGACTGGGCCCAGCCTTTCTATCCCCTATCTTGTTACCCTAGCTATGCTGCACGTGGGTTAGAAAGCTAGACCAGGCTAGTAGACCTATTCCAATCAAGCTTTTGTCTGGATACAAAGCGGGGAAAGACGATTGTACATCAATTTAGAGAGGTTGTAGCTCTTATATCTAGACTGTCCGCCAGTAGCTTTTATGTTTAGTCCAAGGGCTTCTTCCTTTCCTTTTCATCGATATCATTCGCGCAGAAATATATAGCGTGCTGACTACTGGGATTCGCAGTGCAGTCCTCCCGCACAAGCTCGAAGCGGTCTTTGAAGGGGCCCGCCCGGTTCTCAACGGAGCCTACACAGTCATCAAAGGGACGTATCACCGCCTTTTGAACCTCAACGTCACTCCCTGGGTTGTCTTACCCAGAGATGCTGCAACTAACGTGCCATCTGAACCGTACGTTGAGTCACGCGGCTCACGCCTGGTACCAGATCTCGCAGCACAGGAGTATGCGCAAGCCGTGCCAAGTGGTCTTGAGCTACAAATGTCCTTTAGCGTGCAGGCGGAAGTTACAATCACCTCCCCAGCAGCCACCTCCCCAGCAGCTACCTCCCCGGCAGTCACCTCCAGCCAAGTCTGTCCAGCGCTGGGGCCGGAAAGAACATGTTCAACGCCGAACAGCGCACGCCCCCAACAGCCGCAAGCACCGCAAGCCGATCAGCGCTCGTCTGTCGAGGGACAGCATGAGCAAATACCCAGGAGTGTGTCACAGGCCGACGAGCAGTCGGGCCATACGTCGCAGGCCGAGGTGCCACCAGAACAAGCGCTGGCCGTTGAGAAGCCACCAGTTCAAGCGTCAGACATCGAAGAAGAGTCTTATTGGATTGATAGTCCCGCAATGCGGGGACGAATTTCTCGTTCGATAAAGTCTATTCTTGCCGACCTCAAGAAGCGGCGCAAGCTAAATCCGGCAGCTCAGCGGCCGGACTGCCAGAGCGCCATGATCATGAAAGGATCGAACGTGGTGCCGGAAAACACCGAGGCCGTTATCGGATACAATGGACGTAAGGCCTTCTCGTCACAAACCAGAGAGCTTGAACACAAGTGGGGGCAGAAGTACACCGAGCTTTGGGACGCTTTTAGCGCCCTTCTATCCGAGATTACGGCTAGGAAAGCTTGGCCAAGCAAGATTCAAGTCCAAGCCACGCTCGATTGCGAGAACCTTCTAGTACGCCTTGCGAAAGATGAGGCGGATCTCGCCAGTGAATACGCCTCCCTAGATGAGGAGGCTCGCTACTGGGCGCCGCCACCGCTAGAACAATTACCGCGCGTACTCTTAGAGAAGGGCTCTAGAATCTATCATGATGACGCCTTTGACGCATATAGCGCAGCCGCTAGTGTAAGCAAGAGGCCGGCCCAAGACCTTGGTTTCCTACAGCGGCAGTACAAGCAGCTCCACCACCTTCACACTCGGATAGCTGAGAAGCTCTTTATATTAATACCAAGCTTCTGGGTCACAGTGCGCGTACGTGGTAGTCTACCGACCGAAACGGACCGGGACTATATAACCACCGAGTCTCCGTCGAAAGGCAAGCTTAGTATCCACACTACCAGGAAAAACCATCAGGGCGAGACAGTTCAAGATTCTTACATGTACTCAGTTGACGTGGTTTTCCAGCAGTCGGCCTCAAACCAGACTGTATCTGAATCTCTGCTTGAGAAAATACAAGCTTTTCAGAGGGGTAAAAGCGTCTGTATCTTTGCGGACGGACAGACGGGTTCTGGTAAGTCCTACACTCTATGCACAGGCCCTAACTCGGTTGCCTCGTTCGTTGCGCAACAACTTGTCGGTTTATTAGAGGCCCGTTCTGGGGGGGACGATTACGAACGCCACGTGGAATGCTCCTTTGTCGAAGTCTATAAAAACGACATTTACGATCTACACACGGGGACAAAGGCCAAGGCGAGTCACGTAGTCGCGGCCGACCGCCGCCCTATCTTAGCCGGACATCCCTGGATAACCTTCAAAGTGTTCGCTGTCACGAGTGAAGTGCACCGCCAGGCTTTGTCGCCAGACAAACTCCTAAATGTGATAACCAAGGCCTGCAAGAGACGCAACGTCAGGGGCGTAAAGGACTCGTCACGTAGCCACGAGATCTGCATCCTCACCCTACATCAAGTGTGCCGGTACTCTAAGGAGTTGACCAAATCGACGCTACTATTAGTTGACCTTGCCGGCAGCGAACGCCAGCCAGAGCAAGAGGAATGGGAGGGCCAGTCCGCAGAAGCAACAGAAATCAATAAGAGCCGAACCACACTCTTCAAAATACTCGTGAATTTAGGGACTCAGGCCGATAATCTCCATCCGTGGAGAGAGAGCAAAGTGAGGAAATCCCTATCTTTCAAATCTATAGCATGTACTAATGGACATTGGCATTAGTTGACACTCCTCTTAAAACCCTACCTCGTTAGGGGTGCGAGAGTGGTGCTTCTTGCTATGATCAGCCCGCTCCAAGACGACTGGACCCAGAGTAAACCTATTCTTGAAAGAGCACAGGAGGCGAGTCATACCTATACATCTTCTTAATAAGAATGCTAACACGATACATTAGATGCGCAAAAAGCGGCGTAATATCCTTTCACGTACTGGCGCACCGAGCTCCAAGACTAACAGCCTACCGCCTCGCACGCTGAACTACCACCTGGGTTGCATTTCGGATGGCATGAGCATATATAAGCCTGTAATGAACTACCACCTGGGTGGCATTTCGGAGAAGCATGAGCAGACATAAGCGTGTAAGGCTATTCTCCGTTTTCGCAACATCGTTCAGCGCGACTTTGTAGCAAAAGTGCACGCAAGAGTAAAAGAGTGTTTTCGTTCTATGAGTTCCCCACACCAGGCCACGATAGCTATCCCAACATAACAGCCTCGACGAGCCAAAGAACGCCTTAGGGCAACATCCAAAGGAGAAGATAAGATGCAAGAATACACGTAAACCCTCCGCTATTCAGTGTTAGTAACAAAGCTAACCACGATGCCCACGGCGGACGCTACATGCTTTGTTAGCTAGGACAGCGCTTGTAAGTGACGGCGGCCGTACTCAGCTCGAGCATCAACCGAATCCCGCAGCGGTAGCGTACATTCCCTGCTTCCTGTGTTGCCAGCAGTGCCCGGGCCGGCCTATTTCGCCAGGTTGGGCGCCCCTTCTACAGCGGTCGCCGTTGGTGTTCATGCCAGCGCATTGCTGGGTGTAGTCTTTGTAGACGTCCGTGTCGCCGTGCCATGAGAACATCCAAGCCCTGGTGGTGTCCGGCAGCATCAGTAGCTTAACAAGTGATTTCAGGACCATCTTGCAACAGTGCTGCCCAAGTGGAGTCACCAAAGCCAATTTCTCCGGCGCGGCGGCAACAGCTCGATGGAGTAGATATTCAGTGGCGCCGTAGAGCCACCAGAGCGCAGCGCCGAGCTCCCGCAAGAACGGTGTCAAGAGCCGGTAGAGAGTGACTACTGCGTTCCCGACGAGGGCTAGTACAAATAAGATTGCCGTGTGCGACTGGAGGAGGATAAGCACAACAATTGTGTGCGGCAGATACCAAAACAAATGGAACATTAAATAGCTATTAAAGTAGAGGAGCAAGGGCAGCGGACAAGAAGGGGCGGATTTATCAACGCGAGAAGGGAATCCCTCAAGTGAGGCCTACGCTCAAAGCGAGACAGGCAGCATTGAATGCCAGCACGACTCAGGCTACTGGGAGAGCATTCTAGTAAAGGCTAGGGTCCAACGGGAAACAGCATGACAATATACTAAGAGCAGGCATTGACAAAGAGTTCTCGCGGACATCGGCATGCTGTTCTAGCAGGTGCATAACCATTCTTTATGCATTGCTCATGCCTAGACTTTTCATGGTTATGGAATCTTCCCCTCAGTTCCAGTCTTTCCACACACCTCCACCTACTCCAGGTCAACTAGCATTTCGGAAATTCATCTGCCCAGCCGCTGGCGCTACACTACATTTCCGTCCCCGAGCCAGTCAACGTCGCATCTGAGCTACTTCTGGCACAATGGCGGGTCCCGCGTCTCCAACACTCATCCCAGTTCCGATCGTGTAATTCTTGGACTTTGCAGCTCTTCACCAAGCAGAGGCCGCGCTCGTCATCCACGGCAAAAGCAACCCGACGGCTTTGTTATCATGCTGCTGGGACAAGACTATTTTCGCGCAACGCCTTGTAAAGACGGCGAAAAGCAAGCCAGCGGCTTCACCCTTAAGCTGCCAACAATAAGGCGGAAGCGTTTCAGCATGTCTCTTCTTTCATTTATTTGTGCCGCTGCTAAGGACGAGCTGGAGGCTGGGACTATGGACGGAGAGAATGAGGCCGCTAAGGTGGAGCACCAGCTCTCACAGCAGGCGCATGACCTCAGCCTTAACGATGGGAATTTGGAGTAGGCCGACGTGGAGTAGCAGTAGGATCTGGCTGGTAGGGAGAAAGCTGTCGTGAAGGCGGTGGTGCTGGGTGCCCCTTAGGGTTTAGAGGCGGGTTTTTTAGCGGTTACTTTGGCAGCATTGCGGCGTTGTAAGGTTGTGTATGGATAATCAAGCTTTTTCTCAGATGACCATGCTGGCGGCCTATTCGCATCAGGCCGGGAAGATACTTGTAGAGCAGCAGGTGCGCCCCTGGCTGTCCTGGATCCACAGGGCATTCTCAGCGCTCAAACACAGTTTCTTGTAGTGGCGATATGACTGCCTCGTCGTGCACCTTGTTCTCATTTTTCATCGTTGCGTAGGTAGATAGCGTTCTTAAATTTTGACATGCCACTCCAGTTCCGAGTCACGTGCCGCATTTGTCATCACAGGTTATTTGTTAACCCACACCACCGTTGTGAAGTCACAGGCACTTGGGGTAGTCTACGAGTAGCCATAGTTGCTCTTCCAGCCTTGTTAGCGCTCGACAACAGTCACGCAGACAACCTCGATCTTATTCTAACTAGAGTAGGGCGTACATAGCCGGTTGGTGACTTGTGCTAACATCTATAACTACAGAGCTTATCAACGCCTGCTGCTCCCTCTGCTACTCAACCAGCTCTACTGTGTCAACCCAAAGACCACCACCGCTTCGCTCTACCCTTTAAAGGCACAAGCAGGATGGCATTGCAACTCACCGCACCCACTAAGGATTGGTCAATGCTATTCCAGCCCGAGGACCAGGACCGGCCAGCTCCCAATTCTTTGAATACTTCCTCGCTAGAGTCACTCCAGCAGCAGGTCCGCGCACTACAAGCCGAGCTAAAGGATGAACGCGTTATAAGGGAAAGGGCCGTTAAGGAGGCTCATGCATCACGGGAAAGAGCTGCTGCGGAAGTACAGGCACTACAAACAGCACTCAATGAGGCTGTTAAGCAGGCCAATGGGCTCGGCAGGCCTCTGGACCTACTATACGAAAATCTCCGCGCTTACATCAAGCAAGGAGACGAAGCCCTTAAGGACGGGGGACTGGATTCCTTGTCCAGGCACGTCAAAATATGGATAGACCAATTCGAAAAGATCGTCGAACAGTAAAGGTAGGCTCCCTCAAAGGCTACCAAAGTAGTGCACATGCTCACTAGGCTATGTCTATGATAGAGCCGTCTCTGCCGCATCTCCAAACGACCTCCGGACAAAGCCGTCACGCACTCCATTTACGATGCGGCGTGGCCAAGGCGCTGCGACGCCGTGCTTCTTTGTTGTAGATCAGCACGTCTCATCTCCCATCGAACAAAGAAGACTTTATGCTCACGGACGCTTAGTTTGAGGCTTTATAAGACCGCGTCCCAGCGGTGGATCATGGCTCAAACATCTCAGCAGCTGTGCACTGACTTAGATAAGTCCAAGACATTCTAGATCTTGTAAGCGCGGTCGGAAGCATAAGTTGCCCTTCACGCGCATCAATCTTTTATGAGCATCATTCCAGCCATCAGCCTTCTCTGCTTCCTACTTAATCCAAAAGAAACCTCTCCCGTCTTACACGTCTTCCCCTTAGAAGTCTTGATCACATCATCGCCATATCTGTCTTCTTCACTTATCTTACGACCTTCCCTAAGCACTTCGCAGTTGCGGCACTGGACGGTACGAGGAACTCGCCCCTCCCGATTTTAAGCGTTATAAGGACCTGGTGCGGCATAGCTATGGACCAGGCGACCGCAGTGCTCACCGCCGCCGCCTCTCTTCCTACAACAATTATTAGATGCTGCCGCGCCCTCTGGTTATTCACGAGGAAGTTAGACTTCATCTTTCGCCTATTTCTCGACGCCCGCATCGCAAAATTCGCAGTTATCGCAACGTACACGATCCTACTCCTTGGCTTGTACCTGCTCGTCCTCGTCACTAGCGAAATCGTCCTCCAGCTTTTTCTCATGGTCTGCTGGGTCTACAAGATCAACCTCGCCATGGTCACCACCTACTACCACATGGTTTAGCGCGGCTTTCGTCTTACGAAGCGCCTCTTGGGACGTGGCGGAGCTTGATCGCCTTGGCGACACGTCGCGCCACCACCGCCTTTACTGGTTACTACCGACTTTTGGGTCTTACTAGGGGGTGTCGCTTTGGAAGGATAGTGCGGGGTATCCACAAACGGTGTTAGATAGGCTGAGATGAGTTTGGACGTGCAGGTGTTATTGGGTCTTGGTTGAAGTTTTGCAATGTTTTCTGAAAGCGATGTTTTCCGCGAGCTCCATTTATAGAATGCTAACACAATCCACTGAACTTTGCTATACCGTTTCACTTTGAACATGACCACTGGTGCTTAATGAAGCTTCCCATCGCCTTGCAACTTCCGCGCTACACCTACTGTTCCGACGTTTATGTTATATGATGTAGAGTATCAAGCTCGCCCTTTGATCCTCTCCTCGCAAGCCGGCCTGTAGGCCACGTCCAATGTCGATCTTATCGCGTCCTTAGCGGGGGTAGTATCATGGATACGGTGGCTGTGTGGGCACTAGAAGTGCTCTGCTGAGGTGGTTAGGCACCAGTCGTTGAGCACCTCTTGTACGCCAACTCCTGCCGTTTCCACAGCATCCGGCGCCTGTTTCTCTGCAGAGGCTGCGCAGGCAATTCCGCTGCGGAGCCCGCTGCTAGGATTATCGCAGACGCAACAAGTTAGCGTTAGCACCACACCAATCGGCGTGACCTTTCAAGCTGAAGCCACGGATCCTCAACTGGTGTTGAATAACACCATACGGTAGGTGCCCGTTGGAAGCTCTAGGCACTGCACCGTGAGCGGTTAGGTCTAAACCGGCAAACGCCACTTTTACCACGCAAACGGCAGTCCGCACGGAAGCTGGGCCCAGTGTTCGGCATCGCGCGACCGTCTCGCGGACGAGTAGACCCTCGTCCGTCTCGCCCGACACGCCGTTTTAGCGATTTAGACGATTATGTAACCTACTAACTGTATTTAGTAGTTGGCTAGCCGTTTATAGAAGAACATCACGAGTCTTAGCAGGTGTTAAACCCCGTTTTCTCATATCCTATCTATCGCCGCTTGTTTAACCACCACGCTGTTAATATTAGACCCCCCTACCCTCCCCGTAAAAGCTACTATCGCTACTATATACCCTAACCGCTCCTATTATACTTCCTCTAGCTCCTCCGCCGAGGCTATTGCCGTAGCTCTAATACTATAATGCTTCTATAACCGGATGCATTAAGAAGCTTAAATAATATTAGGATTTAACCAGTTGCGCTAGTCTATAACTATTAAGCCGGTAAGGCTAAAGATACGCTCTAGTTTAGAACTTATTACTAGTATAGAGAATAAGTCTAGCGCTATACGCGTAAGCTTTAGATAGTTATTTAAGCGCTAAACCTAATAGGTAATTAGATCCTTACATCTAACTTATTTAATCTCTATCTAAGCATTATATTTATTACGAAATGTGACACTAGCCTCGCTAGCGCCTAGTCTCTTAGCTATATTAGCTTTAAACTCGTTAAGCTCCTTAGATAAATACTGAATAACTGGCTTAGCATATCGGCAGGTATACTCCTTAAGCTAGAGTCTTTTCACCGCAGCCTTTCTATTCTTTAACTACTAGTCTTAGCCTCTCTAATAGTTATAGATATACTGCCATTTAAATGTAGGATAGAGAATAATAGTAGTAAGGTAGGCTAGGCTATTATTAAGGAGCTAGTAGTACTAATTAGCCTTCTACTAGGCTAACTTAATACCCACGCGGAAGTAATCCTCTAGATAGTATTTATAGAGGCTTTTAGCTTCTTTAAGCTTCTTTAATAGGTATTTAAATACTATAATAACTATCTAAAGATTCTCTAATCCTACGCTAGATCTAGGCCGTCCCTCTAGCTTCTTAGTAATAACCTCTATTAGCTTAAGAATATTGTGGTACTACGCTAATACCTACTAGTTCTTTACTAATAGCCGGTTAGTAAGTAATAAGGTATTTAGATATTTCGCTTACTAGTTCTATCTTAAGAGTCTACTATCCTACTATAGTTTAGATTTAATAAGCTCGTCGATAGTATTACGAAGCTTAAGACTATACTTAATTATATTAAACGTCGAGTTCTACTATATCCCGTTGTCTTAAATTAGATTAAGAATAGAATTTAGGGCTAGATAGCCCTCTACTAGCGGTAGCTCTCTATTTACCTAAGCTTAAACTTTATAGAAGCGCTTCTTGCGCTATAGCAAGCAGTAGATCTAAATAATAAGGTTATAAAGCTATTTAATAGACTCCTTACTTCTCTATAGAGCTAACTAAATTGCTAGCTCTATTTGTTACGAACTAGCGCTCGGTATAGGGTTTTGCTTAGGGCTAGTAGGGTTACTAAGACTATCACTATCGTTCGCACTATCCCTAATAGAGGTGGACGACGGGGATAATAGAGAATATAGGTATTACTATCTACTATATTCTCTATAGGGGTGGATAATAGAAATAATAGGGACTATAGATATAGTCTAGTATATAGGTAGCAAGAGTCTCTCTTATAGAAGCCTCGTGCTTAACTTAGAATAAGAATCTTATATTCTTATAATAAATCTAATCTACCTTATAATACTAATCTACTATTATTCTAGCTCTATTTCCTAATATCTTGATTAGTATTATACTATACCCTAGTACTAGGCTATTATTATCTAGAGATAGTAGTCCTATTATACTTTAAGCACTACCTATAAGAGGGATACTTAAGAATACTACGTTAATATATCTACTATAGGATCTATTACTAGATAATAAAGAAACTAGACTATATAGACCTCTCCTAAAAGTAAGCCTATTAAGGTTAAGACACTAGATAAATACTATAGAGCTAGAGAAGAACTAGAACCCTTTCTACTCTAGTGCAACCTATATATCTAGTATAATTAAGTTAAGTTTTAGACTAAAAATAAAGTTATATTCGTTATTACCTACCTTAGAGGTAGAGTGTTTAAGTGGATTTAACTATACTTTAAGGACTTCTTAGAGAACTTAGACTTAAATTAGAAGCTTAGGATAAGAGCTACTTTTATAAATATAGAATCTTTTAAAGAAAAGATTCACTAGATATTTAGGGATATTAACACGGAATATACTATAGAAAGAGAACTAATAAGCCTAGTATAGAAAGGCTCTACTATAGTATATACTATCTAGTTCTAGCTAATTATAGTAAATACTAGTTAGGGAGATTCTACCCTAACCGCGTAGTACTATTAAGGATTAAAAGAAAGTATTAAGGATAACTTAGTATAAGAAGAATAGCTCGATAAATTATAGCCTATAATTAATACCTTAATTAGAATCGATAACTATCTATATAAATAATATATAGAAAAGGCTAAAAGGACTATACTAGTTATAATAGTTAAGAAGAACTACTATACCCTATAGAGAAGGCACTATAACCTATATAGACTATAATCTATAGAACTTAACACTACTACTATAAGACGGCTAGTCTGTTTTATAAAGGAATTATAGTAAGAATATAGGGCACCCTTAGAAAGATAAGAACTATCTTCCGGATAAAGAAAGTCTTTTACTAGAAAGTACTTTAACTATAGTTATATAAGATACTTAGCTAGGGACTATAAGTAGCCTAGAAAGTAGATATTAGCGTAGACTAATAGTTCTATAAAGATAGAATAGCTAGTAAGTACGCGAATTATAGAATATAACGCGAAATTCTAGACTATATACTATAATAATAGGTTTTAGATATATTTTAGTAATAAAGAAGGATTAGAATAGTACCTATCCCCTCTATAAACGTAAGTATTATAGGTTACTAAGCGCGAATTCTAAGTAGTTCGGCCTCTTACTATAAGAGAAGTAAGGCTAAGCACCACTAGTAGGTAAGAATAGTAAATAATAGAATTCTAAGGTATAAAGATAGAAGTTACTATTACTCTAGCTAAGGGTAAGAAGCTAGAGCCTAAGGAAGATAATTCCCTATTTAAAGAAATCTTAGAAATAGAATTAGAGGACTCTAGGGTCTCTAAGCTAGATTTTAATAAAGAACTAGAGATAAAAGTACCTATAAAGAATTCTATTACTAGTAAATATCTATCTAAA